CGGGACGAGAATATCATTTTACCTCTTTATAAATCACTGGTAACACCCCATATTGAATATGCTGTGCAATTTTGGGCACCTGTTCTAAAGCAGGATATTATGGCACTAGAAAAAGTGCAGAGGCGGGCTACAAAATTAATAAAAGGAATGGAACATATCAGCTATGAAGAAAGGTTAACAAATTTAAACCTATTTAGTTTAGAAAAACGTCGCCTGAGAGGGATATGATAACATTATACAAATATATTCGGGGCCAATACAAACCATTGTGTGGAAATCTATTCACAAACCGGACTTTACATAGGACACGAGGCCATGCGTTTAGACTGGAAGAAAGAAGATTTCGTTTAAGGCAAAGGAAAGGTTTTTTTACTGTAAGAACAATCAGGATGTGGAATTCTCTGCCTGAAGAAGTGGTTTCATCAGAGTCCATACAGATGTTCAAACGGCTACTAGTTGCATACTTGCAAAAACAGAATATTCAAGGATATAATCTTTCAATGTAGGGTAATAATTGCTTGATCCAAGGATAAATCTTACTGCCATTCTGGGGTCAAGAAGGAATTTTTTTCCTAGCTTGTTGCAACATTGTGCTTCAAACTGTTTTTTTTTGCCTTCTTTTGGATCAACAGCCAAAAACAAATGTGAGGTAGGCTGAACTTGATGGACGCAAGTCTCTTTTCAGCTATGTAACTATGTAACCCTAAGAGACAAGCTTACCTATAACCCTCATGGATAAACGCATCCCCAAGGAACAGCCCAAGAAGGGCCAAGATCAGGGAGCATCGGTAGCCGACATCTTTGCGGCCCCCAAACCACCCTCACATCAGGCCCAGATGGCGCCGAGGTGTGCCCCGCTCCCTCATCCCCGCCACGGCGGACTTATTCACCGATGACACAGCCGACAGAGGAAACACCACGGATCCTGGCACAACTGGCTGAAGTGAAGCACTTCTTAGCTGGGGAAATAAAGAACTCTACCACAGTCCTCCAGGGCGAAATACAGGCACTGGGCGCCAGGACCACGAGGCTGGAGCATAGGCAGGAGGCCGCAGTGGATGCTCACAACTCGGCAATGCTGCAAATAAACCGCCTCACTGCCCGCCTGGGAACAGCGGAAATGGCAATCGAGGACATGGCTAACAGATCCCGGAGGATCAATATGCGTCTCAGGGGGCTCCCTGAAACTGCGGGAGAGGGCCCCTTGGTGGATCTTGTTCTTACGATTCTCCGGCCCCTGCTTCCCGACCTGCCTGATCACCTCTGGCATATTGAGCGCGCACACAGGGCACTGGGGGCGAGAAGACCGGACCAGAATCGCCCGAGGGACGTAGTTATGCACTTCCTTTACTTTCAAACGAAGGATGCCTTACTGAAGAAAAGCAGAGTCACATCCATCCATCATAACGGCATCGATCTGGCCCTCTACCAAGATTTGGCCCCCACAACACTGCAGAGGGGCAGGGAGTGGAAGCCAATCACTGATGCCCTCCGAGCCGCTGGCATTAGATATGCCTGGGGATACCCGTTCCGCCTCATGGTTTTCAGCGGGGACCGAACCCACGTGCTCCTACCAGGCGATAGTCCCACCGGTCTGTTCCAGGCGCTGGGCCTGCCTACCCCGCAGAACATTGCGGCGGTCCCCACGGAGCAAGAGGAGTTGGGCCTGCTGGCCCAGGACTGGCATCTGGTAGACCATCATCCCCATTGAAGATCCAACGGACCATGACGGCGCACCCCGAGAAGCAGTCTGTCAAGCATGTATGGACCTTCGTCCCCTGGTGGAGAAGGGTGGGATGGGGGGCCGATAATGGGACACTCAGGGACTTGAGGACTCCTTTTATAACACAAGGGACATGGGCTGCTTAGAGGGGGGGTGCGGAGGGTGGGGGGGACTCTGGAGGACACCAGCATAGTTTAACTATAGCGGCACCCGACCGCACACTGAGGGTACCCAGGAACCAGAGTGGATGGGACTTATGCCACCGACCAGCTCAAGCCACACTGCAGCCTCCTCTGGGAAACGTCCTGGTACCGGGAGGCACGTATTATGATGTATCCCACATTACAGACCTTCTACGAGAAGGCGAATAGAATGGACACGTTCCTAGCCCGCACACTGAGGCCGAGACAGGCACATCACCACGTCACCACATTACCTCACTGAAACACCCAGACGGATCTATACGGACAACCCCAGCAGACATAGCCGCAATCTTTACTGACTTTTACAAAACCTTATACAACCACTCATTGACGACCGATGCTTCACGAACTGACAAAGCAGAACGGAATATTACGTTCTTACGACAACTGACATTGCCAGGTCTGTCACCCACAGCAATAGCAGCTCTCGACCAAGACATAACTACGGACGAAGTTGACAGGGCCATAGCCAAGCTCCATGGAAATAAGGCCACGGGTCCAGATGGATTCGGGGGAGCCTACTACAAAACTTTCCGTGAAGTCTTAACCCTTCATTTAACGACCTTATTTAATGATTTCTGTAACGGCGGCTTACCAGATAAAGACATGACTTTAGCTAACATTGTGTTAATCCCTAAACCCGGGAAGGACTCCCAACTACCTGGAAGCTATAGACCCATCTCACTAATTAATCATGACGCCAAGTTATTAGCTAAGATTCTAGCAGAAAGACTCAACCCCTACCTACACACCCTAATAGACCCTGACCAAGTGGGTTTCATCCCAGACAGGCAACTTTTTGAAAATACGAGACGAAACTGCACACTCATATGGAGCCAACACAGTATGAAAACTCCCACCCTTATAGTATCCCTTGACGCTGAGAAAGCTTTTGATAGGATCAAATGGCATATCTGTTCACCTTACTGGAACACCTGCGCTTTCTGCGCCCATACATCACAGCTGTCCAAGCCCTATACCACGGCGTGTCGGCCCGGGTGCAGATACCTGGAGCACTTACACGTCCTTTCTCTCTCTCGAACGGGACGAGGCAGGGGTGTCCCCTGTCCCCTCTTCTATTTGTCCTTGCGCTAGAGCCTATGCTACAGGCCATTCGGGAACACCCTGACATTAGGGGTGTGGGGGGCCAGGAGTTCATAGTGTCTGCCTACGCGGACGATGTGCTCCTCTCCCTCACGTCACCGACCGCCTCCATGGAGGGGGTACAGGGGATACTTGCTAGATTCAGCCCACTCTCAGGATATAAGATTAACATGTCTAAATCCAGCGCCCTCCCCACAGGGATACCCATAGCAGACATAAATCACATACGCGATAACTATGGCATTCAATGCGTTCCACATTCTATCAGTTACCTAGGCATCCAGTTGACCGCGGATCCGGCGGACATGTACAAATACAACTACCCCCCCATGATCAGAGCCCTTATACATGACATGGAGAACTGGATGGACAGACCCATCTCCTGGATGGGTCGGGTCCATTCGGTGAAAATAAACGTCCTACCAAGGATCCTCTTTCAGGCCCTCCCCCTACTGCTCACTAAAGCAGATCTAGCACACTTACAAAAAGCCATCGGTAACTTTATATGGCAAAACAGAAGACATCGGGTGACGAGACAGGTGTAGAATGGGCCCACTCCACACATCAAGGGGGAGTCCTGCTAGCATTGGATGCTGAAAAAATGTTTGACTGCTTAAACTGGCTTAAACTAGACATAGAATGAAAATAAGTCGGAGGTGGGGCATCCCTGTCGTGTGCCATTTCGGATGGCCAGTGGAGCTGATAGGAAGCCTGTGCCGAAGACTCTTGCTGAGGGGTCTTGGTATAGAGCCAGGATACTGGTTAGGAATGCTGGGGGGATGCCCATTTTGGTGAGTGTTAATTGCATGTACTGCCAGTTTAAGCGGTCAAACGCTTTTTCAGCATCCAATGCTAGCAGGACTCCCCTTTGATGTGTGGGCCCATTCTATGAGGTTGATGAAGTGTCTGGTGTTGTTGCCTACTTGTTTGTTCGGGATGAATCCCGCCTGTTCCTCAGAGATTAGGGTGGGGAAGAGAGGTTTGAGTCTGTTAGCCAGCAGTTTGGCATATAGTTTGACGTCTGCGTTGAGTAGTCATATAGGTCTCAGATTGGCGCAGATTGTTGTTTGTTTGTTTGTTTTGGGCAGCGTGACTATGAATACTTCCAGCATTTCTTTAGGAGTCCGCCCGGTGAGCTTTACGTGATTGAAGAGTTTGGTGATGTGTGGGGTTAGCGTGGATCTAAATTTATGGTAGTAGTAATTGGGCAGCCCATCTGGGCCGGGCGATTTGTGCTTCGGTAAAGTGACAATCGTGTCGGCCACCTCTTCGCAAGTGAATGGGGCCTTTAGAGTCGCTTGCTGTTCTGTTGTGATAAATGGAATGTGAGTGTGGTTCAGGAAGAGGGTAATTTCCTCATCTGATGGTTGGTGTGTGTGAGGATCCCTGTCGAGCTGGTACAGGGAGGCATAGTAAGTTACAAGTTCCTCAACAATGTGGTGTGGGTTATGTGGTTTCTTGCCTGTCTGGGAAGTAATATAGGGGATTTTTACTCTTCGATTGTGCGTGGGTAATCCGAAACCCCCCGCCCTCCAGGGTGGTCTATAACTTCCCTTCTTGGTCAGTGGTGTGTCTTGTCGAGCATTGTTAGAGTCAGCAAACCCAGATAACACGAAAAACATAAACATGTAAAACAAGGTATATACAACAGTCCCCTATAAGACAGGGTAATTAGTGGTGTTGGGTCAGCCGAAGAGCCTAGTACTCGAGAGGCAGACTCAACTGGGGGATTAGGAGTAACCTGCGTGGTTTTGCCTCATACCCGGACCCTTTTGATATAGATTATAACCTGTGCCGTCACATTACAGAGCAGCCTTAATTACACTAAACGTGCGTGGGAACAACCCACCCTCAGGATTATGCAGTCGTATTTTTATTTATTTCTTTATTTTTTAAGCCCATTTGTGCCCTCCACCCTGTCTGTGAGCTAATCAAGGTGTGAGAAGGTTAAGTGTCCCAATAGAGGTAATATGTCGTGTGCCGTATACATTACACTTCTTTTTGGACTTGTCCTCGTTATCCGTTGTTTTGCCTTTGTGCTCAGGGGCATGGGAGGGTAGTTAATTTATCCCGTTGTGGCGATCCCGCCATATGCCATTCAGTAGTGAACTTTCTTTGCGGTTTCGGGTCTTGTGGCGGCTGATCAGACGAGCAGAATAGTCCCCATTCTCTTAGAAGGTGTAAGCCGTCCTCCGGTTCTTCTATAACATGGTTCTTGTTGTTCCTCCAAACAAGACATTTTATGGTTGCGGGGGGGTCTTCGTGACTGAGACAAATTCCCTCCGTCGGCTCATTGTGAGAGCTGATAAATCCGCGAAAAGTTGCACTGCTTGGAACGGCTCTGGAAGTGATGTGAGTTTGCGCATGGCAGCCAGCAGTGTGTCCTTTGATTTGTAGTAGTGGAATCTGACCACGACATCGCGCGGGGTATTCACTGTGAAACGTTGCGGCCTAGGGAGACGATGCGCTCTGTCCATGAGCCAGTCCGCAGCTTCAATTGCCGGCAACATGGCTTGGCACAGGTCTTTGATGTATTCGGGCAGTGCCTCATGCGTGACGCCGTCAGGGATGCCTCTAAACCTGACATTGTTGCGTCTGGAACAATCTTCCATATCTGCAAGTTTTCTTTTCATTTGTGTTTGTTCCTCACTGAGGGCTTGCATCTTTGCCTCCATGTCATTATGTGCGATGCATATTTCCTCAGTGCGCACCTCTGGGCGATCTGTCCTGTCTCCCAGCTCTGACAGTTCCTGCTTCCCTTCTGTTGTCATTTTCTGAAAGTCTGTGTTTAAGGTGGCCCTCAGGTCCTGCAGCATTGTATATATCCTTTTTTCGGTGTAGTGGCCTGAGGGAGCCTCCGTGTCAGGCAGATCTTCCGAGAGAGGGGCAGGCACCATGCCGTCGTCGCCATCTTGGCTGGACCGGAGTCGGCCTTTTTTGGCAGATCTAATTTGATCCATGAACTTCATTTGTTTAGAGGGCGCCATGAGGGTGACTGATGTTCAGCCGAGCTCTTTGGGGTCGTTTTCAGGAGGATTGTGCTGGCTATCTGTAGCTTTCGGGTCTGGGAGCTCCTACTCCATGCGCCCTTCTCGTTCAGCCACTAGCCACGCCCCCCTTGTGTTCCTTTTTTATTCAACAATTTGTTGTATTAGTCTTTTTATATTAGCACAATACATACTGTTGTTTGTACTAACAGTAATTTCTTCCTGCTTTACGAGTTTCAATGAGAAAAGCCATCAACGTCAATTTTAATTCATGCCTATATCCATCTACCCACCTACTGACTGATCCATCTATCATTCCATCCATCCATCCATCCATTCGTCAATTTATCCATCCTTTCATCCACTCACCCACTGACCCATCCATCCTGCTATCCTTTCATCCACTTACCCACTGACCTATCCATCTACCAATCCATTCATACAACCATTCTTTTACACAAGCTCTAATTGTCTCCAGCATGACAGGTACCAAAAGCAGGAAATTCTGCTCGTCTCTCAGTCAATAGTGTCAGTCTATGTTTGCACAATTATTGATACAAACACAGTAAAATGTACATACATTGATGCCAATATGTACAATTAGGATTCCTAAACATTAAGGGTGGTGATTAAACAAGACTAGTAATTAAACTCGTTCTCGTTGTTTTGAATCCAAGATGCCTATCATATTATTGCCCAAAATTATAGTCTCATGTAGTATTCCATAGGGATGTGATATCATGTTGCAAAAATACACTTTGGAAAACCTCACCCTACCCTGCAGCTATACTTACAAGCCTGGAAGTAAAAGGTCTAATAAAAGTCAATTAATAACACTCGTGCAACGTTCCTATTGGCTAAGCTATAGGTGAGAGATCTTGCTCAACTGTTTGGGACTGGCCCTGTATTTTGTATAAAAGCAGCATATTTCGGGTTATCTGCTATAGGCAGCGCATCGTACACCTTATTCTTACTCACAGATTGAATCTAGAAGCCACTATGTCATCCAAAGGTGGACAGAAGTCTGACCAGTGCAAAGATCGTAAGTACTTATTCAGGACATAGATCATTGACTTTATTTTAAAAACATTTAAAGCAATTTGCAAATCGCTGCAGCCATTTGAGAAGTAACAATACAATACTCTATCTAAATTCATTGTATGTTAAGATCTATTGATTATACAGTAATGTAGATTTTTTTTTAAATACAACTGTTTATTCTCCCACAATAAAACAAACTATGTTTAATAAATTGTTTTCTAGTATATAACTCATTGAGGTCAGTGTTTTTTTAATCCAGTATCACTGATAACAGATTGTTTTAAAAACTAATTTCTTAAATACGACACAGCTGAGTATTGGGCTTATACAGCACAGGTTATTAAAAATGGGCTTCGGAAATGTAAGAAAATGTGCTATTGTTTCTTGCGCAATCACTTTTTACAGAGATGATTATGTTATAACTGTCCAAAGCAGAGACTACAATGCCCAGTTTATTGTCTGTTTCACACATTTTCAGCAATATTTAATAATATTTAATTAACAACAAAAAAATATTTTTAAAAAATCCATTATATTTTTCTACCATTGTTTCAGATAGTTTTTTTTTTCATTGTTTGTATAATATGATGTTGTATTGTTCCAAGGAATTTTCACCCAACTACTTCGGTGCCTGATCAGTTATTCTATATTCCAGACCGCAAGGGATGAGAGAAATATTTTCAAGATTTATATCAAATATAATTTTAGCAGTTTTTTTTTTTTTTTTAAGACAGTGTGAAAATGGAAATATTGGTGCAATTTATAAAACACAGAAACAAACATGTACAAGATATACACATTGTATTTTAATCAAAAACTTTTTCTTTCCAGCTTGCAAACCAGTTGTCCAGTGCCAAGACCCATGCCCAGATCCATGTGTACCACCACCTCAGTGCAAAGGTATCAGCATGTAGGGACTAACAGTCAGCGAGCTTAGAGTTTGGGTTTCAAATACAGGATGAACTAATGATATTTAGGTGAAAGAATGAAAACTGAATGCCCTGTTTATCTATTTCCCTTAACCAAGACAAATAAAAAATAATGACTTTTGTGGAAATGTATACATGTATGTATATATGTCAGATTTTTTATTAAAGAGAAACATCCAATATAAAAGAACAATGGTACTATGTAGAATATAGCATACAATAGCATCCATATGTGTGACATCAGAAAAGAAGAACAATAGGGGAAAACAGAGTAGACAAAACGGTTGGAAGGATAGGGGAAAGAGTAGAGTCTCCAATGGTCCTAGTCTTCAAGTTAGCCGTTGTATCTAACCATTCCATTCAAAAGAAAAAGGACAGTTTGTCTATCAATAATTGTAATGAGCCTGGTGGGAGAGTAATCAAGGTTTGTAATGTGTTTTTTTTAAGTCACTGTAGAGAAGATCACCAAATGTTTAAAATGTTTAGTAGATGACTGGGGCCAAAACAGTGTAACTAAAGCACGGTGTAATCGAGTCTTTAATTTGCTTTATGAAGTTGTAGGACACTAAAATAGTCTGGTAGATGTTTTCAGAATGCTGAGATAATTGGCCATGGCTCTTAAAAATAGAGGAGAGAGATGTTAGGCAAATTACATCAGTAACAAATGACAGATGGCCTCAGGCTCATAAAGAACTGTTAGTATGGAAAAAAAAAAACAAGCATAGTGAAGAGTCTTTTGTGAGCTAGCAGTTTTAAATGGGTTGGGTAAGAGCACGGACATCCAGATGGCTGTGGTAGTATTGTGGTCCATTAAGAGATAGCATATTTTGATGATTCTGGGGAGATATTTAATCTTAAGGCTGAATATAGTCTAGAGACAAGGGCTGTGGTGGAAAGTAGAATAATATTGTCTCGTGGATTTAACCAGTCCAAGAATTGTAATATGATTGTAATATAGGGAGCACATTTTATTGACTTACAACATGTAAAAATGAGGAGGGGACAGTTTTGTGCCACACATGAAATGGAGGTTTTATGGGTGTTTTCTATTATGAAATTGAGTGTAACCTAAAATATTAATATATAGTGTAGAACCAAGACACCAATTGACCAGTAATGTTGCCAGGCCACTGATCAATAACAGATGCTTATCAAAAACACAGTCCTTTTATTAATAGAGGGGCCCACGTTAATACATTGTTAACAGGCCTATTCACAAAAAAAGCTCTTAAAATAATTTGAAGGCCGTGACTAGGAAAAATGTAAAATGTAGAAAGGAATTTAAAACATTTTCCTACCACAATATAAGTATGAATAGAGTTGAATGAAAAATATATAATCTCATGATTTTACTTACTGGTTTGTAACAGCCTCCTAGCAGGCAATATCTAAAATTAATTCATGTCTACAGTTACCCTTCTATATTTTAATATGTGTGAACGTAAGAAAGCTTAATACAGTAACTTTCCATTTAACTGTTTGTTTTTTTAATTTGAAGTTTTTCCAAAAAATAAAATGTAGGCAGATTATATTTTACTGTTGATAGATGTGAGAAAAATAACACGTCCATTGTATTGTACATTTTAAAAAAAATAGTGATTGACACTTTGTTTAATTTGTTCATCAGACCCATGCCCACCTGATCCCTGCCAGCAACAAGGCCAACAGGGACAACATGGAGGCCACCACGGAGGCCACCATGGAGGTGGTGGAACCAAGAAGTGAGAAGTCAATTCTCTTCTATGCTCCATATCTCCTATCTACAAGATGAAATTAAACGTCTTACTGCCAATCAATGTTTATTGAACCAAAATATATATTTCACAAATGAAATTTAATCTCATAATGGGATCATGTTGTATACCAGTGTCTATGTATACTTCAACTATGGTTTTGATTATTTTATTAAAATATGATCAAATGGGAAATGAGTTGTGTGATTATTGCAAAATGTTCATATAGATGTATAGTTTACAAATGGACCATTACATATTACACAAATGAAGACATAACTCATTTTAACCCCTTAAGGACCAAACTTCTGGAATAAAAGGGAATTATGACATGTCACACATGTCATGTGTCCTGAAGGGGTTAACGCAACTGGAAAGGTGTTTGTACTTTTGCTTTTCGGTGTTTGAGGGTAGGACAGAATAGTTCATTTTAGCCAAGGAATAACAGTAACTAGTTCTAACTTGACTGCTTAACATTAAAGGATTACAGGAGCAACAGAACAATTAAAAATTAATTTCACAACAACTGCTTATTGCCTTAAATAATTAATCTGGCATCATACCACACCCTGGATTCAAACGTAAATATTATTTCTCACTATCTGTTCTTCAATTATCTGAAAGGGAAGTTATTTAGCAATTACATTGCTGCCATAAACAATAAAATAGAAAAGCATGTTTGGCAGTCCCACCAGCCTATAATCACACCAGGCAGACCATGTGTCTTTGCCAATCGTCTATATATATATATGTCTTCATATATCATTAGGGTTAACTGATTGATACTGAGCCTTGTGGTCACAGCCTTGGCCTAAAGAGAGTCATTAAGGCCCCTACAGCTATTATTCCCAACCTTCTACAGCCAGCTATCAAAGGTGTCATCTCTTCTAGGTTTCCTTGGTCAACCACTCTGTGAAGAAGCAATAAAGGTAAAGGAGCTAATACCTCATCTTCTCAAGAGTCTCATATTATATTATACACATATTATGTGTATGCTTAAATGACATGAATTTTCCACCTTTACAATCAATAAACCATAATTAGGAATCACCTGCTTCAACAACATTATATATGCTTCCATGTGGATTTCAATGTCTACCATGGCTATAAGACGCCAGAATAAAACCCACTGTTAAAAGCGATTGTTCCCACACATACCATCAGCTTATTAGCAATTTACAAGTAAAATACTAACAAGCGTCCATTTCATGTCCTCATTGAAGAAACCACAACTGGTCACTAGAAAAGTAACTCTTGCATGGGTAAATGAGCTGTGATTAGTCTTTGCAGGATAGACACTGGGTTGTGGCAGTGGTTGGAGTTGGAAGGAGAGACACTGGGTTTCGTGGCAGTGGTTGAAGATGGCAAGATAGACACTGGGGTTCGTGGCAGTAGTTGGAGTTGGCAGGATAGACACTGGGGTTTGTGGCAGTGGTTGGAGTTGTCTGGACAGACAATGGGATTTGCGGCAGTGGTTAGAGTTGGCAGGATAGACACAGGGTTCTTATGATTGAAAAAGAAGATTGAAGAAGTTAGCTCAACAAAGAAGACTACAGCAGGCAAGTAAGAAATGATTAATATTACAGGATTTTTAAATTTGACAAGATTATACCATTTCACCCTCCCTAATACTTATTAAACAGTGCGAGTAGGTAGGATGTATTGTGGGAGTGGGAGATGGGCTTGGGAACTCCTATTCACCTATTTATGGGGGGTAGCTACTATAAATTAAGGATCAGGGTACGGCTGGTTCTGTGTGTAATAGTTTTGGAGGATCTGAGACTGAGTGTCCTCTGGTTCAGTGGTTTTAATGGTGCCAAATGGGTTAACAAGCCTCTTGAAACAAATTGTAACATTTTAAACAAGGCTACAGAAATTGGCCCAAGTGTTAAATGAAGATGCTTGGAAAATCCTATTTAATATTATTACACTCCATCTGACCTCCTAAATAGGAGGAAGATTGGAGGCCATTTGCCAAATGGTTGATACACCCCTTGTCTTCAGATCCCAGCAGGGGCTTATCTAGAGCATGTGGCACCCGGGGCAGGTGCTGGGTTTGGCACCCCCCACCCTCCTCTGCAAAAAACCACCTACTAAATGTTTAAAATGTGTTATTTTTTTTACATTTTAAAAAAAATGTATTGAACAAATTTGTAAACTTTTTAAAACCCCTGCCAACTTCTACAAAATCCGTGCACCCCCTCACACACAGTTACAGGCAGACAGTCAATCACACACAGTTACAAGCAGACAGTCACACGCACACAGTCACAGGCAGACAGTAACACACAGTCACAGGCAGACAGTAACACACAGTTACAGGCAGTATCACACAGTCACAGGCAGACTGTCACACACAGTCATAGGCAGTCACACACACACAGTTACAGACAGACAGTCACTCACACACACACAGTGACAGGCAGACAGTTACACACGCATACATACACACACACACACACACACACACAGTTACAGGCAGTTACACACACCCACTGTTACAGGCAGTTACACACACACACAGTTACAGGCAGTCACACAAACAAACACACACAGTTACATGCAGTTACACACACACACACAGTTACAGGCAGACAGTTACACACACACACACACACACACACACACACACAGTTACAGACAGTTACACACACACACACACACACACACACACACACACACACACACAGTTACAGGTAGTTACACACACACACACACAGTTACAGGCAGACAGTTACACACACACACAGTTACAGACAGTTACACACACACACACACACAGTTACAGACAGTTACACACACACACACACACACACAGTTACAGGTAGTTACACACACACACACACACACACAGTTACAGGCAGACAGTTACACACACACACACACACAGTTACAGGCAGTTACACACACACACACACACACACAGTTACAGGCAGGCAGTTACCCACACACACACAAAGTTACAGGCAGTTACACACACACACACACACACATACACAGTTACAGGCAGACAGTTACACACACACACACACACACACACAGTTACTGGCAGTTACAAACACCATTACAGGCAGTTACACACACACACACACACACACACACAGTTACAGGCAGACAGTTACACGCACACACACACAGTTACTGGCAGTTACACACACACAGTTACAGTCAGTTACATATACACACACACACACACACACAGTTCCAGGCAGACAGTTACACACACACACAGTTCCAGGCAGTTACACACACACACACACACACACACACACACAGTTCCAGGCAGTTACACACACACACACACACACACACAGATACAGGCAGTTACACACACACAGTTACAGGCAGACAGTCACACACACACACACACACACACAAACACACACAGTTACAGTCAGTTACACACACACACACACACACAGTTACAGGCAGTTACACACACACACACAGTTACAGTCAGTTTATGAAGAAAAAAGGAAGGAAACCGCGCCTTATATTAGATGTGCATACATACATTCAATATCTCTTAATTGATGTAGATAATTTATCCTCAAAAAGAGAACAGAAAGAGAAAACACAATGGTGCAGTATGTTTGACAATTTGAGAACAAAGGTGATGTGAAAAGTGAAGGTAATTTAAACTCACATTTGGTAGAGCTAATCAGGAGCTCTACCGTAATTCGCACGGACGGTACAATCCCCGTTTTAGGATATAGAAACCCAATATCTTCAGCACTCCAGTGGTATGGCAATATGAAGGGAATAAAGAAAAAAGGAACTCCAATAGTGTAGTAACTTTAAATCCAAATGCAGAGAAAATAAATGAAAGTAGTTGTACTCACATTTGCTAGAGCAGACAACTTGCTCTAGTATATAGGGCTTACAATGGTATAATCCCCACTGTAGGATATGTAGACCAGGAAGTGATGAGGAGAATAACTTACAAAGTAAAAAGGTATATCACTTTAAAAATGATTTAATTATTTAATGACAATAATAAAACAAAAGGGCTATATAAAATAACACTCAACGCGTTTCACCAGTTAGGCTTCATCAGAAGTGTAAAAAAAGAACCTCAAAACAGTCCTTTAAATAAGTAACTTACATAAATATCCACCGTGGAACGCACGCGTCGTGCCGGAAGTGACGCGGCATTTCCACGGACAGCACAAGTCCTGCGTCCCAGCGTGGAACGCACAACAGTCGTGGCTATTATGCCGTTCGTAAAAGTCAAATGTATCAATTGTACAAAAAAAGTCTTCATTCAAAAAGTAGTAGCAGAGAGATGTAAATAAGTCCTTTGTGCAGATTCCCAGGGTAACACTTGCTGTCCAAACCGGATAAGTATACTCCATTCATACTTAGCAGCAGTAGGTCCAATCATAATAGAAGAAGGCAAAAGTATGGGCAAAATAATAATAAAAACAAATCAAAATTGGTCTAAATATATAAAATACACAATGTAAGTAACAAAAAATCAGTATTATAAAAGAGACATATGTATAAATATAATTGATATATATAGATAACAAATTGATAATATATATAAAGCAGATGAATATAATAAAATGATAAAAAGAATAATAATTGGAGATATGTAAAATGTACAGATAACTATCTTATATTTATAGGATAATAAAATTATACATATATAGGACATAAATCAAGGAAAAGGATTAAAAGAAGAGGACCCAGAGATGGGGAGAAAAAAGGTATATATAAAAATGGAGTATATAAAAGAATTGAATAGATAAAATAATTTAATTAAAAAGAGATCTGTAAAAAAATTTAAATTTATAAAAAATACAAATCAAATTCAATATTTAATCCGTCTGGGTGTAAAGTGTTCATATTGTAAACCCATTCCATCTCTGTGCGTCCTATTTTTTTAATGTGATCACCTCCCCTCCAATGAGATTTCACAGTGGCAATACCCATAAAAGTGAGATTTCTAGGATCATTATTGTGGGTGCAAAAATGGGATGAAACAGA